AAGAGAGGGACAAAATAAGACAGCAAGAACCAATAAAAGCGAAGGAAGGACCAAGGAAGCGAGAAGGGAGAGAAAGAAAGATACCTAAAAAGTTTGATAATTATAAACTTTATTAAAAGAGAAGGGGATGTTATACAGGGTGTCACACAAAAAACGCCCCAAGCTGTAACTCTGTCATTTACATTCCGATTTTCATGAGCGGGTTATCAAATGAAATGGTTTCATGAATACTATGATTCANATGCCATTCTCAACATACCAAGAGCCGAAAATGAAGGCGCAGTTTTTTTCCACGCAACAGAGGCTCTAGCAATGCATAGAACGTGATGGACGGCAATTTGAGCATTTAAGGAGGCATTAAAAAAACTTTTAGAAGCTCGAACTAATTTCTTTAGGGCAATTAGTAGTAGTTAGTTTTACAATTATTACCGTATTTTCTCGAATCTTATTCGCACTCGAATGTAAACCGCACCCCGATTTGAAAAATTCGTGGTGGTAAAAACATGTAGCTTGCGAATGTAACCCGAATCTTTCTTTGTGCAATCCGACGGCACCAAAACTATACGATGTCGTTGTTTAATAATAATAATAGTTTTATTGAATAAGTATGATTATACATTATTCTCGTCAATAATATACAGTTCGTAAAACTCAAAATATTACATATCCTTCCTTACAACCCATTCACAACCCAGGATTTACATATTAGGAAAGTTCTTGTCTGCAAGGTGAGTGTGATATTGCTTCAAATGTTCAACCTTTAAAATATTACAACAGAAAAAAACCTGTGATTTTGGAATGTGATGCTAGTAGTTTCGGGTTGGGAGTAGTTGCATTTCAAAAGAATGGTGTTATAGGTTACGTATCCAGAACACTTACTAGATCTGAAAGAAATTATGCCCAAATCGAAAAAGAACTGTTAGCAATAGTGTTCGGTTGTACAAGATTAGACCAAATGTTAGTTGGAAATGGAGTAACAGTAAAAACTGATCACAAACCTTTTTTACGGATACTTGAGAAACCATTATTAAATGCACCAAAACAATTACAACAAATGTTAATGACACTTCAAAGATATAACATTGAATTAGAATGTGTCACAGGAAAGAATAATGTAGTAGCCGACACATTGTCTCGTGCTCCATTAAACGATAGTTATTATAATGAAATATCGAAGCACAAAAGAATCGATATTTTCAAAGTATTTGAAAAAGTGAAAAATGCGACATATTTACAGGTTACCGAAGAGAGACTTAAAATGATTAAAGAGTAAACATTGAGACACAAAACTTTACAAAAAATGATAACATTTATTACAGATGGTTGGCCATCTGTAATGAAAAACATTCCTGAAGACATAAAAATATACAATCAGTACAAACACGAAATATCAGTGCAAGATGGAATTTTATTCAAAAATGATAGAATAATAATATGTAGCATACAATTTGAGAAAAACTATATTTGAAAAAGTTGATTTAAGTCACAATGGTATTGAGTCAACAGTAAAACTAGCTAAACGAAATTTATTCTGGCCTGGTATGACAACAGAAATAATTAATAAAGTAAAAGAATGTGACATATGTGCTAAATTTCATAACAATCAACAACAATCAGAAATGAATTCACATGAAATTCCAGTTTACCCATTTCAATTTATATCAATGGACATTTTTACACAAGAACTGAATAACAAAAAACCTGAAAGAATACCTGAAAAAATATGTTCAGATAACGGAACGAATTTTGCGAGTGTGGAATTTAGAAAATTTTGTAACAGCTGGGAAATACAACATACAACATCGTCTCCACACCATCCAAAATGAAACGGAAAAGCATAATCAGCGGTTAAAATAGTCCAGTTGAAAGACTCTACTCGAGAAGTACACGAACCGGAATACCGTCACCCATAAACAATTTAAAACCTAAAATTGTAGATAATGTTCCTAAAATTTTAGAAAACAACAGAAGGAAAAGCAAATTTTATTACGACCAGAAAAGTCGAAAATTACCAGAATTAAAAATAGGACAATCTGTAATAATACAAATGAAACCTGAACAGTCAACTGTATGGACAAAAGGGAAAATTGATGAAAAACTGAATGATAATACATGTATAGTTAATGTGGAAGGAACACTGTATAGAAGAAATGTAATACATATTAGACCACATAATAGCGAGATTAACAAAAATGAGACACAGTGAGAATAATGAAAAGAAAATGGAAACAGAGAAAACGGAAGTGAATACTGAACGAATTTAAAAACAAGAAGAGGGGTTAGAAGAGAGGACGAAGGAAACAAATAACAATGATACAAACAATTTGAAGGAAGAAACGAATGAGAATAATATTGACAATTCGAGGGACAAAATAAGACAGCAAGAACCAATAAAAGCGAAGGAAGAACCAAGGAAGTGAGAAGGAAGAACCAAGGAAGTGAGAAGGGAGACAAAGAAAGATGAGAAGTTTGATGATTATAAACTTTATTAAAAGAGAAGGGGATGTTATATATATAGTTAAGTTAGTTATTTTTAGTTTTAACAGTTTAGGTTGGTAAGAGAAAGGCATTAGATGTGAGAGAATGACATGTAAGAACTTGTAAGAAGCCAAGCTGTTTTATCTAATAAAAAACCTATACATTTTTTAATATTAAACGGAGTTTAATATAACACAACCAAAACTTTTTCATTTTTAATAATAATTATTACCAGATGAAAGATGGTCTCTCTATGGGTTCGCCCATCTCAGGTATAATAGGTGATATTTATGTCAATCATTTCGAAAACAAGCTTTTCTCAGATAAATATAAGCTTATAACCAAAGATATCTCATTTTACGGGAGATATGTAGATATCTTTATCATTTTTGAAGGTAATGCAGCAAAACTTTCAGCATTAAATAATATCTTTTAAAATATTAATAACCTGCAGTTTACTTTTGAAATTGAAACAGACTGTAGACTTAACTTTTTAAATATTAATCGGAATTTGATATTAACGTGTGTAACATATAAATGAAACAACCAGAAGTTGGGATATTACCATTACCCAGTTTTCTCATCGAATTCAAAAATATCTAAACATTTGTTAAATAATAAACACAAATTTGATAATATATCATTGAACGGTGTATATAAGATCGAATGTTCAAATTGCAAAATGTGCTATATAGGTCAGACTGGAAGAAACATCCTCACTAAATTAAAAGAACACCTAAATAAAGATACTTCAGCTGTTTTTAAGCATTTAAAACTTAATAACCATACTACAGAAATTAATAATGTGAGTCTGTTGAAGAATATAAAGAAGTCGAAAATACTTGATTTATTTGAGGAATACTTTATATATAAGAATAACAACAATAATTGTCTTATGAACGACATAGCGGATAGTAATAATTATAGATTTTTCATCAAACACATGCAATAAGTGATTTTTCCATATAATCTATTGATAGATGTTTCATATTTATAGATATAGATGAGAAATAGAATTTAAGTTATAGAATAGATACAACATATAAACGATACAACGCTTTCTAGAATGAGATATCGCCTTTCTTCTCTCTTCAATAATTCTTTATCGAAACCAGTCTATCTCGTCCTTTTGTGTGAAGAGTAGTCTTTTTCGATTTGTTATATTTTGTTGTTAAGTTCGTGATTTTTGCAAGTTTTTAATATGTTAAAATCGCCGTTTATTTTACTTTCCGACATACATCATATTGATTTTTAAATATTCTTTAACGGATAATTATTGTAAGTACGCTATTTGTACAATTGACCATTTTGTATTTCTTTTTTATTGATTTTTAGAACAACTTTGAGTTAAGATCATTTATCCTAAATATCTAAATTACGCTCTGACGGTAATTTATGTTCTTTACTTTTATATTTTTAGATCATATTTAGGGTAATTTCTGGATTGTTCTATATTCCTTTTAATACATTTTTATTAATGTAGTTGTGCCTGAGCAAGACCACTATATGGTCGAATACTATAGTAAGCACTGAATAATATAAATAAATTATTCTATTATCGTTACAAGAATTTTATGTAATAAAAGATGTCGTCAACATTCTTTAAATTGGAAAATATAATTTTTTTTTTCGTTTTTCTTAGGAATATAAAAATATTACATAGTCCCTTTCTAAAATAAACGATTCAATTATAGCAATAAGAGCAATTTTTTGTTTTGAAACAGTTTAATTGAATTTCTTGTTGTATTATTAGCTTGTTCAAAAAAATAAATGCTATTAATTTCATTATTATCTAATTTATATTATTTTTTTTAAAGCTTTCTTTGTTTTTTGTCAGTCTAAAATATATTGTTGAAGATAAATTATAAAATTTTGCTCAAAAAACTTATTAAAAGAAAAATAAAACAGAAAAAAGCGTAACTCCATCTAAAGTGCCCGAAATTATATGAAATTACCAACCATAATAGATTCTAATGTTCTCATTTTCAATTGTATCTAAATTCAACAGTTAAAATGCAAATATAATTTAAAGAATCCAGTTTTTTCTGTCTCAAGCTGTCGGATTACGAACTTAATAAATAAAATAATTTCCAGATATTTCTCTTGCCCCCTTTTTCTATAAACATTTTTTTCCCAAACCTCTATGCCTTACTATTGTCCAGATACAGCCGCTCTGTGCCCTTATCAAGACACCTGTATAATAAGACTTTTTTGGTAAAATTTAAAATGATTATTTTTATAAAAAATTAATGTTAGAAACCAATTATTTGGTAATGTTGAAAGATATCTATATATTTAAAAATAAAACTGTTGTGAAACTACCAAAATAACACAAGTTACAACTTATTTACATACAACCACAGCAGCTAGTAACTCATCAACCCAAATTACTCAATTCTTATCATTTAAAAGGTCACCATTAAAATTTTAATGACCTTTAACCTTATCTGATTAAAAAAAACTTCCTTTCAAAACGCAATGTAAGATAAAATAAATTAATTATTAAAAAAAAAAATAGTTACCTTCATATCCACCAAAAAATACAAAATACCCCGGCATTTCTCTTGCTAAAGTTGCCACCAAACCCTTAAACATTCCCTTTATTCCCTCAGTCTTCAGAATTTTCCCAACTAAATCAACAGGGCCCACTCGTTTCATTGTAATTCCCTCTTGATTATTAACTTCATGCATAGCTTGTAATTTACATTTAACTAGCTCCGTAGGGCATAAAACCAATGAGGAAAAAAACGCTGCTAAGCACCCAGCCGATGCATTACTTATAGTGCTTAAACTTTCTATGCTTTCAGCTCCAGTTACTTTTTGCATAAACTTTTGACAGAAACCATAGCCCAAAAATAAAACAGAATTTTCAGCTACATTTGCAGCTAAAGCCGGAACTGTACCCGCGTATAAACCAGAATAAACACCATCCACAGCGAGCGTTTGTTTAAAACATTTTATCATCGTATTGTATTGCCCTGGAAAGGTTTGCATTTTGACTTTTATGGTATCCAAAGGTTGGCCTACATAAACTAAGGCAATACCACCTAGAGAAGAAAATAAGATTTATATGAAAATTAATTAAATTATTAGGAATATTACCTAGTGATCCAGCAGTAAAATCGATAATCGCATCTTTGGTATGGCTTGCTTGGTCCACCACTGTTGTAGCTTCCGTTAACATTTTCTGTTGGTTTTTTTTCAAAAAAATCTTTGGTTAAAAGGCAAGAAAGATACTTATTAAACGTATTATTTTGAAATAGACTTGTTTGCGATAAGGAGTATCGTTTACTGATGTGTTTCAGATTTGGGTGATGTGATGACGTTCCGCGTTTGAGGTTATGTACCCGTTGCTATGTTACGATTACGTATACAACACGTGTTTTTGACGTATTTACGATCATTTCAAAAGTTTCAAAATAAAACTTATCTATTATTTATTTTTTATTAATTTCAATTATTAAGTAATCTTTTTATATTGATAATAATCCATCTTTTGCAAAAATATTTTATATTGAATAATAAATTAGAAGTAGAAAAATTTAATTGTGATGTTTATTAATGATTGTATTCATTTTTATTCTTTACTTTTATATAGGCAACCTAAAATGCAACATTGTAATTTTGGTTGTACTAATAAAATTGTTTTAAATATTACAAATTTGCTTTAAAATGCTGTTTATTTCATTATAATATCTCATTGTCAGTATATTCTTGAAACACGATGTTTTAAAGATTATTGAGATTAAAAAAATTAAAAATTGAAGAACGTTCTTCAATTTTAACATGTTAACTTGCAATTTTGTCTTTAATCTTTTAAAATTTTATTAGAATAAATACCTTTGTGAACTTAATATTTAACGATATGACTTTTCTGTGAACTCTTGTAAAATTAGTCTCTGAGTATGGTCATGGGCCGAAACTAGTCAGACTTAATTAATAAAACCAGTTTTAAAAGTTGAGAAAATTTAGAAAATAAAATTTAATTACCTTTTCATAATTTAACAACTGGTAAAATGGATTTAAATTATAACTATAACCTATATTGCCACAAATAAAAAGAAACAAATTTTATAGCGAATGTTGAATGTTATCAATGAAAATTGCAACATCGAAAATTTTATCAAAACTTCAAATATTGTTTTCTCAAAAACTAAAAGTTATTTTTCAAAACGTGTTGGTTCATTGGAAAGAGGACACTTTTATTAACATTTTGGGAAATGTTCATACTCATATTCAAAGAAATCGATTTTATACGAATTTTTAAAACTTAATCGGCGAAAATTGCAAAATTCGAAAAAATTGTCGATCACTTCAAAAATATACTTCTCAAAAACTAAAAACGATTTTTCAAAACGGCTTGTTGCATTAAAAAGGGGATACTTTAATCAATAATTGGTGATATTTCCACAAGGGTCCTTCAAGAAATTAATTTTATAGCGAATTTTGAAAATTATCGATGAAAATTGCAACATCCAGAATTTTATCAAAACTTCAAATATTGTTTTCTCAAAAACTAAAAGTTATTTTTCAAAACGTATTGGTTCATTGGAAAGAGGACACTTTTATTAACA